TCATGTTAGCAGTTTCTCTAGTGCATTTTACTGACTGCTTTTCCTCAAGCACCTCTGACTTCTTTTGCCCAGGACATGGCAAAAAAAAATCAAAATTTTGTTCTGTGGCAGAAGGAAAACCCCAGCTAGTGTAGTAAAGGGAGTGTTATGGTAAATGTTTAACAACCAGAGCTGCTGGCTCCATTGTTGCTAGCCACCAAACTGCTGATCGGCAGTGTGGCTCAGTTCTGCTCTCAACCGGCTTGCAAAATCCCAGAAAATTTAGCCATCGGCTCTCACAGGCCAGTACAAGCCAGCTCCAGCACGCTACTGTTTAAAGGCCATAACAAAACTAGAATGATGTTCTAGTCTAAAGCCATTTTCACATGTGAAGCTGACACAGGCCTTTAAGCATCTCTTGTGTTACTTCTCCAGAAGTTTGCCAGTTGTTCCAAGTGAGTAAAAAGCCAAACAGAAGTATTTGTTGTATGTATGGGCCTTCCAGCTAATGTGAGGTTTCTGTTTATATTTCAGGCAGTAGTGAATCTTTCAACATCCATCTGTGGAATTGCCTAAAAGCAGACCCAGACCAATTGTGGCTAGAGAATATTGATTGTTTTTTCACATGTTATAAACCATAGTTGTCATTGGTCATTGCAATGGTTATGAGATAGCTTGGGATCCATAAATAATAAGACGGAGCTTATAATGTACAAAAAATTGCCATCTTCATCGAATTGGATCACTGAGCCTGCATCCCATTTTATTTTGTTTTGTTGTTAGAACTCCAGCTCCGTTGATGCCTTCCGCTCCTACCTTGGCAGTGCCCTGACAACCCAGCTGGGACCACATGCCTTCAAGATTCCTCTGTCCATACGGCAGAAAATCTGCAACAGTCTTGATGCTCCCAATTCCAGAGGGAATGATTGGCGGCTCCTTGCTCAAAAGCTTTCCATGGATCGGTGAGTTTTATTTCAATGTTTTGGTGGTCCCATGGGAAAGAAACCAGCCAAAGAAGTTGGTAACTTGCACGTAAGTATTCATGGAAAGTGTTCAGTCATTTAAGCCCCTGACCTGCATGGGCACTGTGCAGACACAGTTCACCTAGATGGGAAGATTTGGTTTAATTATACAATGTGATGAATGGCTTATGGTGCCATCTAAATTGCTTTTACCCATTTTGCCAACACCAGAATTCCTGCCTACAGGACTGAAGAGATGTATGAAGCTGCTAGTGGTGTTTTACTAGTAGAACCATTTCTTTCTGGGTTAAACTGGAAGAGCTGTCCAAGAGCTGAGAACCAACAGAACCGCTTTGATCAGAACCAGAGATACAAATGGATCCAACTCTGATGATGTTCTGAAGGTGTTTGAATACCTGGGCATTCTCCCAGGGCTTGTAGTAGTTATGAGCACCTGTGGGCTTCTTTTTCTCTTGATATATATGGTTATTTCTCCTGGATGTACATGTTCTGTTTTTTCTATTTTGTTTTTCCCTCCCTTTTTAATGTGTAAGCTGCCCAGAGGCATCTGGGGTCAGGCAGCCTCTAAATCATAAATAGAACAAGTATAAAGTCAGAAAAAGTAGATTATGTTCAGTAGTCTTGGTTGAGCAAGATTAATTATCTGTGTTTAATCTTCAAAGACTGGTTTCAAGCTATAAGGTTCTAAACAGTTTAGGTCCAGATTATCTGTGATAATATCTTTCAATACTTATCAATCTGGACCCCAACAACATCAATAAAGGGTCTCTCAAGTGTAGTTCAGTAGATGTCTGCCTGGCTGAGTAATAATCTTCTTGGCGCTGGAATGTCCTTCCCAGAGAATTCACCTATAGCCTACGTCATAGTCTTTTTAACCTTAAGTAAAGATATTTTTATTCTTCCAGATGTTTCAAGGACATTTTAAGGTCAGTGTGGACATCATCAGGGCTTTGTTTATACTTTTTTTACAATTGTTGGTTGAATTTGATTCAGTTGTACTATAATTGTGCAGTTGTATCTCACTGACCTTTATGGATTTCATGTTTTAAATTTTACAAACTAGTAACAGAACCCTGTCGGATGTACAGGATGGAAACACTGAAAATAAACACATACAAAATAAAATCTGTTCTCAGAGACTCTAAGAGTAGTAGAATTGGGCAGAAACACTATATACCATTCTCCCCCCATTTTGCATTCTCCATACTATGCTGGCTTTAAATTATTAATATTTTGTCAGTTTGCTTAATAATAAAAGGAAAAAAACATAGGAAATTAAACATAGAAACTAGTTGATAAACTAGTTTAGCTCATGAGATGTGTGAATTTGTTCATACATTTACCCTTGGTTGCCATTCTTTGCTTTTCTGTTTTTTTTAATGTGCTTCTAATATTTTTGTTATTTTATTTTTATTATATTGATATTTTTGTTGTATTAGCCACCAGAGTAGCTTTGTGAGATGGCTGATTGGATAAATCTAAATCATCATCATCAGCCCAAAGTTACAATTACTTGGGAGTAAATCCTACTGAATTTAAAGGGGTTTATTTGAGTTAGACACATTTGGGCTGCACTGTCAGTTGAACAACATATACCAAGAGTCCTGGATATATACCAAGAAAGATTTCATACGTTCCTTGAAATAATGTTTATAAATCGTAAAAGCAGTGTTATTTGGTTGTTATGTTTTAGACTGGGAAGCTGATTTATTGAAAAGGGGAACTTAAATAAAACATTTCACCCCCATGGTTTTCTCAGACCTTAATATTTTTATTTTATAGTCATATTTTTCTCCACTAGCCTTCTTACAAAAACCACGAAAGTCCTGAAAACAGTTCTGATTTAGTGTTCTGATTTCATAGGGGTATGGATTTGATTAGGATGCTATTCCAGCTATGTGAATGCTGGCATCAGAACAGGACGTTTCAGGGGCTAATATTGATGCTGAAGATCAAAGCTGATCATTAGTAAGCTCTCCTACTCTCTGCCTTATTTTATTTCCTACCCAGGTACCTAAATTTCTTTGCCACCAAAGCCAGCCCAACAGGGGTGATCTTGGACTTATGGGAAGCTCAACACCAAGACGATGGGGATCTTAACACTCTGGCCAGTGCCTTGGAAGAGATGGGCAAGAGTGAGATGCTGGTTGTCATGGCAACAGAGGGAGAGTGCTGATGCAGCTGTTGAAGACTTCCAGCCACATGGAGGATAGAGTAAGAGAGGGACAGGAAAAAAAAAACTTAAGGAGGAAAAAGCTCTTTTGAACCAATGGGAAACAGTTGCAAAGAAGGAGCAGAGCCACAGTGCTGAAGGATTCAACTCAGGTTTCTTCTCCTTCTCGTACTCCTCCCTCCTAAAATCACAATCAGCCTTAGAAATACCCACATTACGGAGTTTACAAGCAATCCAAGTGTTAAAGACTCCTTCCTCCTACTCCTCACAGCCTTTGGATTGCAGCTTGGAGGCAATGCATCATTGCTGATGGTGACCACAGCCCCAGGCAGCAAGTGGCTTCTCCGAGTCTCTGTTGTCTCTGGGTGGCTTATTATGAGGGCTGCTGGAATCTGGGCTGTTTTTTGTTTGGTTGTTTGTTTATCTCTTCTTGACCTTCTCTTTTCCCATTCCCTACTTTGTTCTTATTTCTTCTTTTCTGGCATTTGTGCTTTGAAGAGTTGAGTACAATTTAGTAAAGACAACTTCTGTCAGAAGCTTCAGACAGCTTAAAATACACACACATACAAGGGAAAAAATGGAAATCCGTTTCTTAGGAAACACAAGTAAATGTATTATCCAGATCTTTGGATGCATCCTTTTTTAAAAATATATAAATATATATTAAGAATCTTTCATGTATATGAGAGCAAGAGCATCTTGGCACTCAGAGAGAGAGAGAAAGAGAGAGAGAGAGACTTCTAGTGGTAAACTTTAAAAAAGGTCAATATATGTAATCATCTCTGAAGCTTGGTGAGGTAGAACTGCTGATAGGATTAGAGAAAAATGAGGGTCTAAAAGGACAAAGTGTCCTTTTTTACATGGTGTTTGATTTTTTTTATTATAGTTTACCATAGTAACAAGATTGCCAGAGTGTGGGAACAGGGCTAACAATCTGTTCATAGCATAACAAACTGACTTCTGAAAATGCCGCTGCAATGTGGGACCAGTTTCCTAGAAGTAAAAGCATGTAGGAATGGGACATTTTGAAGTAAACAGATTTGGAAAATTTCTTGGAGCTTTCTGGAAAGACCAACACATTTTGTAGTCTTCCCAGCCCTTGAAACAAGTGTAGTCTTATTTCGATGAAGTCTCGACTGACTGAATGACTGCTTTGTAGTGTTTATTTTTCTCTGAGTTCAGTTCCTTTGGTGGTCCTACTGAAATAACACTCTGGCTAGTATCAAAATAGCTCCATTAAGTTTGTCTAAAGAAGTTTGACATTTTATGGGCTTACAGCATCCATTCCATATGGGGAGTTAAAATTCAATTGTCCCTGATATACAGGTATAGCCTACAAATATGGCTCTCTAAGCTGTGCTCTGAAGCTCTTTTTAATTATAGCTATGTCAGAACAGAACTGTAGAAGCCTTGAAGCTGAAGGTATTTCTGCAATCTTGTGTCTGAATGATGTGGGGCAAACTGAGCTATTTAAAGAAGACTCTCCTAACACATTCCAACCCAATGTCTATTTGGGAATATGCTCCCATAGAAAGCTGATGCAGCTCGAATGGTCATGTACAAACCAGCTAGAATGGCATGGATAGAACATGTGCAAAAGGGGCAGAAGATAAAGTTAGCCATTTAAATGAAAGCTCTTTGGAATCCATATTAATATTGCTAACATATTTTGGATATTTGAGACAAATTGTAGAACTCAGTTAATTTGAACTTTGAGGCAGAATCTTAACATTATCCCAGACATGCATTTCCTCTTCTGTTGTTATTATGTTTGCTGACTGAAGGAATTGCAAATATTCCAAATAACCTTCCTTTGTATCATGTGAAGCTAACGCTTTTAGGATTATTTTTTATGTGACTTTACCCTGTATTGAGATATGTTGAGGTATGAAGTAATGATGCTAGTGTATTTTAGTTGCTGAAGGAATATCGATTCAGTGGCAAATGTGTGTGAAGTTCATTCCCAGTAGCTAAAGTTAACCGTGATGCTCCTTTAGAAGGGTGTTAGGTTTTAGCCCCTGAAGTAAATGATAAGAGCACTGAGGAATCGAAGCAAAAGTGTCTCCTGTATTGCTTTTTATCAGGGTCAATCATATGCCTCTGAAAAGGCCATCAGTAGGATGCAAGTAAAACAGCCCCTCATTTGCTTTTTTCCCCAGTCCTTGTTATTGAGAGATGATCCTCTGACCCAGAACACAGTATATGGGAAGCATGGCTACTAGTCCCTGGTGTCCACTAATTCTGGCCATTTCCCCACTAGTGATTTAAAGTGTCTTCATAGCATCACCCAGCCATAACTGAAATGATGTAAAGCATGTCTTCATGACTATTATTTTGGCACAACAATGGTTGGATGATTCTAGAAAATGCTACAAGATCGTCATGGGGAAATTACTTCGATCTACACGGAACAGTGTGTCCATGATGTAAAGCACAGAGGTTTGGTTCCTCAACTTCTCATATTTAAAAGTATTGATTATTGAACTACACATGTATGCAGTAGTGGCATTGGGTAAATAAGAGGGTAGTGCATCTCAAGCCCCTTAACGGAAGAGCATGATCAAGGAAACGAGAATCACAAACTTCTTTTAATTGAGTTTTCAAGCCAAGGGGCTACCATACAGAATCTTGAGAACTGAGATACAAGCCATCCAAGTCCTCCCTTATTAATGAGTTCATGAAGAAGAGGAGGGGGAGGATATTTTCTGAAGCTTTTGGATTTCTTTATCCCAGGCCATCTGCATAACAGGCTAAGGATACATTTCTTTGATAAGCCCGTAATGATCTCTCCCACTGCTGATTGTTCATGTCTAAAGATACTTCTCCTTCTCTCTCAGCCTCAGCATAGTCTCTCACAGGAGCCTTTCCTTTTTGTATGTGTACTTCCTTGGGCCAGCTTCTTTCTCTCTCTCTCTCTCTTCTATAATGGATTCCAGGACATGCTGCAAACAGCTGCTTGTCTCTTTCCTCCTTCCCAGATCTATCCCAGAAGTGCACTTTATTTCTAGCTTGCTTTGCAGAAAAGTTAGTATCCACTATTTAAAAGTGGCTGAAATCTCACAAGGACACCACACCTCCTGAGAGTTCCGTGTTCTCACATCATGAGATTTTTAGCCTTTTCATGGATGATCTCACAAGATCTTGAGGTGAGATTGCTGAAATCTCATAAGATTTTGGCCATCTTCAGAATTTATATTGGAACAGTGCCAGGAGCCCTGAAAAGGTAGCTGAACCCTAGAAGAGAGATTGCAAGCGATGTTCTTGACCTTTTCTCAAGCAGCATTTATATCACAAGTAGGCAAAATTGTATGTTATTTCAAGTGGGACACTTCTGCTTTTCCTCATGGGTAGATTTGCTAACCAGAAGCTCTACCTCCTCATATAAATGTGCAAAGGGAAGACAGCAGCAGGCTGCTGGAAATTCAATTCTTTAAACCTTCTTAGAGCCTGAACATGTACACAAAATGTGCAGAGAGTGGTTCCCAAATAAATTAGAGTCCCCCCAAAGAAACACAATGTATTAAGGCAACGCAAAGCATTCAGAAGGGACACTTTGCAAAGCATGTTAGTAAAGGTCAGGTACCCCTCCTAGAAGTAACACAGAGTCCTATTGCTGGATTGAAGGCTGTCTGTGCGTGGGTGCACACGTACAAGCGTTTCATTTTGTGGGTGATTTCAGCAGAATGTTTTGTACTGCCCTACAGCATGTCCTGAGAATCTTGGCATTTATGTTGTTCTAGTCCCCATGATTTCTGAATAAAAATATTACATTGCAGGAAAAAAATACAGTGGCCACCAATTGAGATATTGTCTATATTAATGAAAACATACACAATTAGATTGTTAAGCATAGTCATACTTACTTTTATTAGTACTTAAGGAGTGTGCTTAACCCTTTCTGGGCAGAATCTCCCCAGTGGCCAGAAATGATTAATTGTATGTGTGAAAAACTTGCTAGGTGCACACTTTGAAGGCATTGCTTCTGAAATATTCAAGCCAGCTGTAGCTATCCAGTCTATGAGATATTTACAGTGTTGACCTCACTACTCCTGTCTGGCACTCTCAAGATTACTAGTTCTGTGTTGGTCCTGGAGACTGAAGGAAACCTAAGTAAATGGAAGCTCTTAGCAAATGAGCTATTCAATTTTCTTTTCTTTCAGAATAACAAATTTTGCAAAATGAGCCCTGGAAGTTTTACATTCTGAACAAAGCAAGCATAGTTGTTCCATTCTTTGTGTTTCTTTCAGAACCAAGAGCTCTAAAGGAGATGCATAGCCTCTCCTACACGCAAGAATGGTCACCTTCAAAGCCTGCAAATTTATGAGTGTGCATTCTTTGACTCCAGTACATCTGCTTTCTCCATAGAAAAGCAGTGTGCAATAAGCCCCAAATACACATACCCTCATTCAATCTAAGGGTATACATGCAGAGTACAAGTTAGACCATAAATTGTGCTGGCCTGAATTTCACTGAAATCCATGGAGGAAAAGAATGTAACTGTTTTTCCAACATTTCCAAGACATACATTTCTTTTAATTGACTCAATTTCCTGGTTTTGAAGAACTGTATGATTCTAAGGCAAAGAACATTTTATAGATAAGGAAAATTTACATGGTGACTGTTTCAAGAGGGCTTGGATTATCACCAACAAGAGATCAACGAGAAAGTTTCTTAGTGCAAGGCACCAGTTTCCATTTAAATAGATTTTTTTTTTAACACCCCATCACTGGTGATCTAACTGGAAAGATTTTGCAAATTCCAGGGCAGAAAGAGTGGGAAATGTTTGAGATAATAAACTAAACTGTTCAGTTTTCTTTTTAGAGTCAGGAGTAAGGCCCAATCATTTCAGATGAAGGTCAATTTACTGAGGTTACAGGATTGCTCAATAAATATTCCTAATATGTACTCCTTTGGGGAAAAAAATAGAAAATATTAAGAGTCTTCAGTTCCTACACTTTTCCTTCCTAGTTCTCAAGTCTGGAATAAAAAAAAAAAAAAAGAGCAGGGGAACTTATGTGCTGTTAATAGTCATGCTAGAACTATGTTTGGGTGAATCAGTTCTAGTATGTATGTATATCATTGGTTCACAATACACACCAAGGCATGGTTCAGTTAATCATAATTCATTCAACAAACTACAGCAACTGGGTTCACACAACACACTAAGCCCCCCCCCATCAAAAAAATCCAAATCACATGTCTTATTATGTAAACCAGGACTAACTGTGTATGTGTGTCATTTTGGATATACTAACTGCGTAGTGGAGAGTGTTTCCAAACAGTCTAGCTACACTTGTTCTACTCAGAGCTAATATTGGTGTTATGGTCATTTTTTTTTCAGTTGTTAATGCTTTGCAGTGCCTTATATATAGATTTTATATTGCAGATGTTCTATTACATATTTTTTTTAAAGAAATATCCATGAATAATACAAATGATGGTCTTGCAATAGTTCTGGTATTAAGTGTATGCCAACTCCACTTAGGGTGGAAAAAGAAATGCAGCACATTTTAATTTCCCGTGTGGTGATCCCACAGTTGTCTAAAACATCTGTAAAAAGCCTCATGCAAAGGAGTCCTCGGCTTCAATGGTTCTTCACACTTCTTTCCTTCAGGTTTCTAGCCCTGATGATCACAGGGAGGAACCAAAGGCAGCAACTGCTAAAGGATCAGGAATTATTTCCTATTTGGATATCTGCTCTGGGGATTTGGAAACAGGCATAGATGAGAGGGGAGCTGAACATAGACCTCTGTTGATAAATACATCCAGTATTTTTTTGCCTATCATATTTTCCAGATCTTCCCAGCAGAAGAATCTAGCAGAAAGATATTGTTGAGAAATATGAAAAGGATAACTCCAGCAGTAAAACTCTAATGCAAATGCATGTGTATTACTTTTAATTAAAACAACAACAACAATTTGCAATAGCCTTTGCTGTTGCGAGAACTACGTAGTTGCAGGGTATTTTCTTATAGCCGCTACCTCTTCAAATATTGTCCTCTTCTGCCAGCGTAGTATGGAGCAGTGTTGCTCCAAATGCTGATAATGTTCTTAATACTTCTCCCTTTTCACAAGTGCTGCTTTGTAAGCAATAACTTTAAGCAATGGCATGATGTAGCAGGTTTTGTACCAGGAAGGTGTTAGAGCCTCAGTGACGATCCCTTAAATCAAGGATGGTGGAACCTGTGACCAAGTCCTATGCTGTTTTCTTCCAGTTCCCATAAACTCTATCCAATAGAGACCCTGGTCAGAGTTACAGGAGTTGGAGTAAAACAACATCGGAACAGCCATGAGTTCTCCACCTTCCCCTAAGCCTAACTTCCCAAACCTGGTACCCTCCTAATTATTGGGCTTTTGAGTCCAGAATTCCAGCTTGAATGGCAAGCTGGAGAAGACTGTCAAAAGCTACACATGCTATTTGTGCAAGATGAACTCTAGGACAAAAGGGGGAAGAGATCCTCACTCTCAGGGAGCAGAATTGTTACTAGAGATTATGTCTTTATTTGATAGCTTGGTAACCAATTGATCCTCAGGATGTCTCATTCATTTATTTGATCCATGCCCCCAAAAGATGTTGAAAGCCAGTTAAAAACTAAGGTTCGTGGTACAACAGCAACATTGCACAGAGAGACTTCTGATTTAGAACTGTTTCTGATTATGCAATATCCAGCAATATTGATTAGAGATCCTTTATTACAGCAAAATGATACAGTTCAACTATTAGTTCAGAAAATACATTTTTGTATCTGAAGAGTCTAGATATTTACGCAAAAGGAATAAAAACAGGTAGGGGTGGGATGAAGCATCAGTGCGGATGGAGTAATTGCAATCATTAAATGCTGCAAATTGAAGACCTATTTTTACAGTGCAAGCTTTCTTCTAAGGCTGCATAAAGCTTTGATTTAGAGATTCAGTTCAAAAGAGATTGGATTGACCTCCAAATCAGATCTGAAAATTGAATCAAAACACCTGAATCAAAAAATCCTCATTGTTGATTCAAAAGGGCTTTTGAGTCTGTGAACCGACTCGGTTTTACAAATCCGTTTGAATTGTTGAATCAGATTGAATCGACAATCCCAATGAAATCAGTGATTTGAATTGGAGTGAAGCAATCTAGAGTGTTCTTACTTTCTTCACCTGTTCTTGGCCTCAGACAGAAAATAATATCTGCAATGTTTGCAGCCCTGCTGTCTAGTCTTTAAGGGTGTGTTTTGAACTTGTGCCATTCGTAAAGTGTAGAAGCACAGAACTTCACGATCCAGACTGTGTATTTCTTCAACTACTTTATGCAAAAACAACTTTCCCGTTGCAGCTTGTGAATCTTAAAGAGTATGGGAAACTATATCAAGAGAAATCAAGTCAGTATTTGAAGTTTCTTTTAACCCATCTGATACTGGGTACTTTAAAATGTGTGTCCTGTATATTCATTAGTGGGTCATAATTTCTTGTTTTTTCTAAGGCAAATATCAGGGATCTACATATGCAATATCTAGATCTGGGTAAATGTCCAGATTTTTGGAACCAAAAGATAAACTGTGTTTTTCTTAATTGCCTCTGAACTTTTTTAAGTGACGTAATCTGAGTGCCTCTTTCCTGTGTTCAGCAGTAAAACAAAACCATTTTCTGTTAAAGATAAATATTATAGTCATTTAACCACAAGGTATTTGGGGGGGGGGGGGACTGCAGGCATTTCCTTCCTCTGTAGCAGCAGGTGGGGAGCAGTGTGTTGTTTTCTGTTTTGTTTAGTTTTTCTGTAGCATTTCCAGCTAGTGGGGGAAAAGAGATTGATCCCATTCTCAGTATAATGCATAAAAGAAATCCCACTTCCTGTGCTTAGAACCTTGTTATATTTCCTTGCTTTTAATCTAATTTCCTATTATTGCTAAATATTTGAATGAAGATGGGGCAGTAAGAGGGAAAGTATTAGAAACTGACATGGATTTAAAACAAGAGGCTGGTCTGTAAACGGTGATCTCTTTGGGCAAAGAATTATTTATTTTGGGGCTGCGCTGAGCAAACCAGATTAAGGTAACCTTCCCAACCAAGTGCCCTCCAAGAGTATTGGATTACAATCTCATAATCCCCAGCAAACATACTTGGAAGCATTTGGGAAAAGCCAGTTTAAGGGATCAGGTTAGAAGCATAAATCGGTGCTTAGGGGATTTACAGTTGTCCAAGTCACTGGACATTACCACCTTCCATTGAAATATTACATCTCCTGCATTAATTTTATGCTACCTAGACTCAGATTCTAAGGACAAAGTGTCTTAAGTATATGCTCCTCTCTCTCTCCCTCTCTGTCTGTCTCTCTGTCTCTCTCTCTGTCTCCCAAAATTGCTTCTCCCATTATTTTGGTCAAGGCCATATACAGTACATCTGGGAACTTTTGACTGGGCCTCAGTACAATCATTGGGTTTTTTTTTCAGTTGCATGAACAAGTCTCTGCAATCATCCAGAGGGAAGGTCATACAAGCTGTTTACAGCTGTTCATGTCCACTGTATGGGAAGAACTAGAAGATTTGACATTAGAGTCTGTTTATTGAGGGCCAGTATGAACATAGGATTGCATTGGCCTGCCAAAGAAATTCTGAGAGTTCAGTGAAACGTGTGAAGCAACCACAGCATACCCTCCCAAAGGACTGTAGGGTTTCTGCCTCACTCTTGAACTCATGTACATGTGTGTGCACATTCATATGTGTGTGTGTCTTGGCGTCAGAACTAAGAAATGGGGGTGTGCTTGAGAAAGAGAGAAATCAGTATAACAGATTTAGGCATGACTGGGTGTGGCAGGGAAAGGAACGGATATTAACTGACAGTGAGCAGAGTGCCCCTTCCTCTTTGCTTCTGTTAGTGTAGAACAGTGTTTCTCAGCCTTGGCAACTTGAAGATGTGTGGACTTCAACTCCCAGAATTCCC